GGTTGATTGACAAATTACAGTGACCCTGGGACTCCATGTTCAACTAGTGTAGGTGAAAGATCCCTGTCTACAAGGTAAGCAGATGCAGGAACAGGGGAACCTGCTCTCAATGGTTGCAAGACTTCCCGCACGTGTTGCGAAATACTTCCGTGGTAAGTTTCTTGCTGTCCCAACAATGCTTTATGTACGGTGACAGTTGTGTGCCATGACGGCGGCTCTGCTGGATCCTTTCTCATGGCAAAGTCTTGTGTCACAGAGCTAAGAAACTTTCAGGTTAGGGAAGTAAATTTCTAAAAGCCAAATTGTTTCCCAGGTCCTGATTTGAAAGCCAAGCATAATCAGATCAGAGTCCTGGGGACAATCCAAACTCAGAAACAGAAAAACCTGAGAAATCCAAAACACAAAACTAATGCTCAGGCTGCAAAGCAAATGTGGGAAATGACTGAAGCTTCTATCTGGAGGGTTTAAGTAATTACAGATAATCCGGAACAGATCTATCTAATCAAGTAGTGGAACAGTCTGTTAATATTCAGGTGAGGGTGATTGTTGGCAATTCTGTGCCTGAGGATCTGACATCTACGTAACCCTCATGGGAATTGCAGAAAGTCCTAATAAATACATACAAACAACCAAACCAAAGACAATTTAAATAGAAAATAAGTGATTCCATTGATTCATTCAATTCATTTTTGTTTTATCCATTAGCTTGGTACTTTCTGTAGAAATGTCACCAAGTAATGCTATAGTGTTCCTTTTTAAAGGTGAAGCAAGTCTCTTAGATGCAAAAGGTCAGTTTTGCACTGGCCTTTTAACCATGATATAACCAATGATGGGCATGCTGTCATTTCAGAAATAAAGAAAGGGACTGCATCTATTAAACTTACATTCCATGAAAGACTTACCCTCAAAGCTGAAATTTTTGGGGATAAACTATGAGAAATATGAGATCAAATTGATAAATGCCTACATGGCATCGCTATCTGCAGTTTTTTAGACTTCTAAGTAGCCTACTGGTCTATATTCTAATGTCATGGTCACCTTGCTGTGAGAGGAGAATGAAGAACACTGATGCAGCACAGAGACAGCTGAGTTGAATGATTCTATAAGAATCCCAGTAACTAATTGCAGGCATGTTTTCAAAGTTGTAAAGACTGAACACCATGCCACTAGCCACAGGTATGAAAGAACATGTGCTAAATGCTGCTTGGTAACAGTGCAATCAGTCCTTCATTTGTTCTGTTTCCTGTCTGTAAGGTCTTTAAAAATTATAACAGAAACTATATTCAGTTTCATCATATAAATGATCTCCAGCCAAAGGCAGCTCCTTCCTCCGTCTTTCTTATAGGTTATCATTCACTTACCTCTGACTCTGTTTTGTGAAAAGTGTTCAAAGTGTTATAAGTGATTTTATAAACTGGCATTTTATGTCCAATGGCAATAAGAGAAGGAGTGCATCCTCATTGGAGTTCTTTCTGGTGCTGGCACAGAAAAGTGCACCTCTGAGCCTGTTTCATGTTCATCTTCTCAGTGAGGACCCCCCCCACCCCGAGCCTGACGGATTTAGGCCATCGTGTTCAAAAAGCCCTTAACTTGTGGCAGGTGGTTAGGACAGCAAGGGAGCTGGAAGTGCACACACACTGGACTTTGCGGAAGAAGCATTATCCAAAAAGTTCCTTTTATTTTTTTCTTTGGGAAATTTCACAGCAGTTTTTAATAGTTCACAGTAATGAATTCATGTCACAATGTCCGGGCCATCATAAAGGTATACAATAAGTTAAATAAATGGTTTTGATTAAAGTATATTTGGGCATGACAATGTGTTTGTTTGTCTCTGTAAGCAGTTCTTGGCTGGATGTGGAGGCTGAGATCTTTTTCCACTTGTGTTGAATCACTCATTGCCCTGAATACAATAAACCTATTCCCCATTCATGTGTAGTCGTAACTATGCTGAACCCGAAGGCTCAGAGCTCTTTTGGGACTTTGGTTTCTGATGCATGTGGCATGAGTTTTTTTCCCTTTCTTTTTTTCAAAAGCATTTAGACAATCTTCCTACTGTGTCTTCCCCAGGCTTCCTGTCCTATATTACCAAGAAGAAGTGTGGATTCTATACCCTGTATCCTGTTTTAACAAGACATATAATTCATCTGAAAATATCTAGCTGTGAGTTTAATGGAACACTAAAGATAATTATGAAATCTGCAATCCATAAATTCTGCAGTTTAATTGTAAGATCCATAGCTGAGACATTTATTTCATCAGTTTGGTGAGGATAACTGTCCTAATAATCACACATGGAGTCCAGTCGGAGCTCAGCATGGAAGCGCCTTGGAGAGAAGCACTCGGTATCAGATGCGATCTTGGAAGAATAACAGCAGTGTCAGATTAGCTGCCCAATCTGGACCAACGCCACTGAACAGAACTTGATTTTCCCCTCACATTCCTCCAGAGAGGTGAGGAAGATTCACAGAAGCAAGAGTTAAATTAGCACAGAAGATGGCATTTTATCAATCAGTCAATCAATCAGTCAAAAGTTGTTTGGCATTGCAAGCTGACATGAACCTCTCGATGTGTAGCACAGTAATGAAATCAGCAGATATATATATTTTTTTACTTCCTTTTAAAATCTCCATTTTTATTTTATTGTTTGTTATGACTGACAGAATAGTATTAATAATCTATGAAAATCAGGCTCATTTTATTTTCTAATATCTTATTTTCAGCAACATATCTACTCCATTCATTCATTCATTCATCCATTCATTCATTCATTCATTCACTCACTCATTCCTAGGCTTCTGGCCTACAGGGAGGGCAGAAGAAGGTACCACCTCTACTGTAGACCTCTGTGCCCTGGGGTCTTCAAATAAAACACGCATCAGCTCTGCTGGAACTGATGTATTACACTGGGCTCAGAACAGATGCTCAAACACAGACGTCCACAATAATCACATGACCTGGAGAAAATGTTCTCATAAATAAGTCTTAAGGTTTTTCCTCAAGATCGATAAATCTGTCTGTGGTCCATAACAGTTAAAATATCTCCCTGTGTAAACTGCCACACAGGTGCCTCTGTATTTGCTGACCAAATCCGACATAACCTTAACCTTGAGTTTTCCTCCATGGTGATAGATCTGGTCCTGGAATATTTCGTTTAATTGTAATTCCATCCACTGCCATAGCCAGAGTTTGAAAAATAGTGAGGTACGGGACCCGGGGGTGGGTCTCCTCAGTCATATTAGTGATACTGTACTGTCTCCTTCATAAGCCCTTTTTTAAATTAATCAGTTATGTGAGTGATTAGTTAGCTTAATTTTTATTCAGGTAAACATTTAGCTTCAAATTTTATCTTTAGCTCTTAAAAAATTACCAAGGTCTGGACCTCGGTGACCTCATAGCTGGCTACAGCCCTGATTCTATCCATCCATCTCCTAACCACTCATTCTGCTCAGGGTCATGGTGGGGTCTCAGACAGCACAGAACACAAGTCTATAGTATGGACTGGATGCCCATCCATTGTAGGTTATACACACACTATGGGCAGGTTTTAGAGGCCAGTTTACCTACCTTTAACTCTGGATTGCGGGAAGAAACCAAAGGACCCAGAGGAAACTACAGGAGAATATACACAGAGCAGAGTGGAGAGTAGAACCGCCAACACAAGAGGTGTGAGACAATGCTCATTTAAAATGAGAAAAGGGGCCTTTTTGATGCTTGGAATGTTGTAATATTACCCAGTAAACCAGTATTCTGACTTTGGTTCTCTGCATCTGCGTCCCACTCTTTAATTATAATTGTAAATAAGGGGAGTTTTTTATTCATAGGCTACCAATCAAATAAAATGTTCAAAATACACTGAAATAAGAGGTGAGAAGAGTGTGAACGCTACCAACTGCAGAGTGGGAATGTTTACTCTGAGAATAGCTCTATCACCTCAGGGGTCAGAAGGTAATGACCCATTCTGAAAACCTACCACCTCATTAGCAGATTTTTCTTAATTTTTTGGAGCAAACATAAATCACGGTTTGGTTTGACTTTATTCTAAAAGAATTAATTGTAAACAGACAAATCTAAAGGGAGAAGTTTGATATTATTGAGTCTTCTTAATAAGCTGCTGTATGAGAAGGTAACTGACTTCATGTTGCAGTAAATACACAGTGCAGTTGTAGTAGCAATGTGCTGATTTTGGGCAAAGTATCTTCCTTGCAGACTATTGTGAGATGCCACATTATAACTTTGGCCTTGTGTGTTAACAGACAGAGAACTCCGCAGATGGTAAACTGATGTTTAAATGCAATGTACTTCTAACATCCATAGCTCCAAACCAATCGATTAAATATTTACTAATTAACCTCTTTAACTCCTTCTATTACACACTTTATGCATCTTTCTTGTGTATGACTATTGCTAATTAAGGTACTAAAAGTCCCCTGCAATGTAACTTAATAACACAATGATTAGGACTGCATTTTCCTAGAGGGGAAGAAGACAATTTATTATGTTCAATATCTCCGATACTCTGGTACTTACAGCCTAATGTTTAATTATATCACACGGCATGTATTTAACCTTGTATCCCTTATAAACAGTTCTTGTACCAGGTTTTACTGAAATGGTCGATACATTGTCAAATTCAGAATGTCATTGTTTCACCAGGTCTTCAGTGTTCTGATGGCTGTCTGCTGGTTCCTCCTTGTATTTTTTTTTCCCAGAAGGTATAATGATAATAATAAATGTATGGTGTTGGCCACCGTGCCAGTGCCACAAAATATATAAATAGGCAATAAAAAGCTAAATTACATGCATTTACTTTTGCACAGAAAAACCCTATTTGACTTACTTAATTGTAATGCTTCACTCAAAACAACCTTAATTTTCATAAACATAAATCATAACAGCAACATAATATCTCGCCATACAAATCTGACTGTTGTTTAAGAGTTTTCAGAGTAACTAAACGTTTGATTAATGGGCGCAGAATGCAATTAGACTGCATTTCCAAATAAAAGTGCAAGTTTGTTTATTTTTTCTTACATTTTGGTGCACTCATCATTCCAATCCCCTGTGCCCATATACGGTGAAATAAAAATGCTTGACTGGGCAAATTCTATTGTAAAGCTCTTTTATTTTTATTCATAAGACATACCCCACCAATTTTCTTTCTTTTTTCCTTTCATATAGAGGAAGTTTTTCTTGCTAACAGTTTCAAAGCAAAGCAGAACATAAACGGGCACGGAATGAAGCAGTGCATTAAGAAGGAACCCAGAAACAATCGGCAAGCCATATGTGTTTATTATAATGGATTTGCTTACTTTTTCCCTTCCATCTGACTGCTGTGGTCCTACCCGGCAACGTGCAATCATCCTCCAACATTCGTTCCTCAGTCAGGTTCCTCCTGTCGCATTCTCCTGAGCACGCATACACAGACACACACGTGTGTTGTCCTAGATGGCGATGTGGATGGGGTTCATAACACTGAATTCCAGAGGGAGAGGGGGAGAAGACAGATCCGTCACAGAGGGAGGGCAAGAAGCGGAAGCGTTGCCATGGCAAACATCCAGCGATAGATGGGGTGTGACCTTTATGGGGATCTGCAGTTCAAAGGTCAGAAAAGAATGCGCTCTCAGGATTCCAGTGACGCCGGTACTCGTATGTGGTGACATTTTCATGCGATGTGGCTTTCAGTGGACTTGTGAGTTTCTGTGCGCTGCTGTCCCGCGGCTCAGAAACCCCACAATGTTCATCTTGCACAACAAGCTCTCATAATAGCGTCCATCCTCCTCCTGCCTTCAGAACAGTGAGTGCAAATGCTGTAAAATACTGACTGCAGCATAACAATTAAAAAAAAAAAAAAAACAGAGACCGTGTGACAATCTAATATTGTCCATTAATGTTTACTTTTTTTTTTGAAAACATCCAAGAATGTGTTCTCACTGCATATGTATGCGAAGGAAGGGTTTGTGCGAGCTCTGTGAAAATGCACGATTTTATTAATTTTAATTTTTAAATATATGCCTAAACATGATTAAATCAATGCACTGGAGTCTAAAATTTACATTCAAGCACTGCGTTGCATTGCAAGGGCAAATTTATGTTTTCCAAATGGACAAGCAACTGACCTAATGCAAATCTCAATACAATATCAACATACATAAAAGCAGTCTTTAAATACTATATTTCACTGTTTATAGTTTTATAAGTCTTTTAGCAATGTGTTGAAGTACTGATTCCAATACTATTATGTACACTTGTTCTTTAAAATATCTATTACAAAGTTTGTTAATCACAGTGTATGGCATATATAAGCATCATTTAAAACTCTGGCTATACCTTTGCTGTTTTTGCTCATATTTTCGTTACTGTAACCGTGGCCCCCACTGCAAGCACTTTTGAGCCACGCGAGCTTCCATACGCAGGAAAACAACAGCAGTCGGACGAACAGTCCGGTCCGAATGCCTGAGTGCGGCTCTGTGGCTGGGTGCACGTGGACACAGGAAAGGGAAAGACACACGTGTACTCCGAACGAGACGGACACTCGTCATTCACAGTTTGCTTCATAAAAGTCTCAAAAGACAGCAACACGATGACGTATTCCTTAAACAAATGACTATGAAACTAATACTATATTAATTACTAAATAACATACATAGCATAAGTTAACAGAGGCCCCAAATCAAATTCAAAATAAAGAAATGTATAAATAATAAAGTATTAAATTAGTCCTGCTTTTTAATTCAGTTCAGGTATTCCAAGGAGAATATTGCTGTGACTTTCAATGTTTTAGATACATACTTCACTTTTCACTCAAGTACATTATGTGCATTTAAAGTCATTCTGGAGACACTTGTGTCCTTTCATTGCGGTGCTGGTTGAATAATTACATCCTTATCATCATTTTGCACTCATAAATTATTCCAACAAAATGAATTCAACAAAAATTGTAATCTTATCATTATTACCCTTTTATGTCATAAATTTAAAATTATGCTTCTTCTCAATGTGTCATGATGACAGAGGTTTTCACTCATGCAGGGGAAAAACTTCAATAAGGAAAATCCTATAGGTCTCTTCCACTTAAGTTAAGTTATATAGATCCAGACACCCAATGATAATGATCTGAAAATATCTGGGATGAGATGGAAATGTTTTGCGTGATAAAAAGCAGATGGGGTATTGCCACTCCGTCATCATGAACTACAACAAGAAATGGACTGACTAATTCAGTACTTCTGCATTACAAGGGACTCGGCTGAAGGAGTGCTGAGCCAAGGCATCGTTTCATACTTCACAACAGGGAGTAATTGGCGAGGAAAACACAAGGGATGCAACAAGGAGTCACATTTACAATAATGGAAAGGCTGAGAAGTTAGAGGCACAATTAGGCCAATTCAGAGAGCATCTAATATCATAACAAACTATTGCAACAGTGGACTGGAAAACATACCGACAATACTGGATGGATTTAGGAAATGGTCAAGATAGTACTGATGAATACTGAGAAAAGTTTTAATGCTTATGCATGTACCACCATAATGTCTAATATAAACAGATAAGGATGCAGAACCATGTGGAGGGAGAGTTTCATACAGCCCATAAATGGATACTGCAGCAATGACATGAGAAAATGACCAATGACTGGTGTCCTACAGTCCCCTGAGAAAAAGTCCGAGGCACATCTCTGAAAAACGTGGTGCTATGCGACTTATTCAATGATGCATCGATAGATGTAATGACACTAATCAAAGAGCATGGATTCGCGACTGCGTTATTAAGACAATTCCTTGGAGAAGAGATACATGATGATATTTTTCTGTTATGCCTATTACACCTCAGCAATATTGTACATGATTAATTTTTCTAAACCTGTACGTCATGGCAATTGATTATGATGAGGATATGCCAAATCCTAAATCAAATACGGTGTGTTTTAAAAGAAAAACATGAAGGGCAAACAAAATGTGTGTTTAGGGAATGATTTGAAATTTGGTCTGCGAGTCTTCTGGGTGCATTTGGACATGGTGGCTGAGTAAACAAATAAGAAGGCTGTCCAACCAAACACACACAAACACTGTGGGATTTATCCTACATCAAGATGAACTAAACATGTTTCAGTAACATCACCCCATGAACTGTCCTTCTCTTTCCCACAAAAATAATAATTATTAACATGTACCACACACAACACAGCTTTAAATATCCTCTTTACAGGTAACACACTCAGAAATACAAATTAGAACTGTAACACAAACACAAAGAGATATACACATTTAAACCACTGAATACCACCCAAACCCAAAGAGAGATTTTTAGTTTGGTGCTTTCTCCAACTATCAGCTTTTCTGAATTATTTGTCAAAAAAAAGTTTGGTGACAACATAAAAAAAATCAGTTTTTCACCAGTTAAATAACAGAAGTAACAGGACACACCATGATTGGGGACATTTAGTGACTGAAATACAGAACGTATGGAATGTAAAGAAATAAATAACTGTATAGGGCTTTAATCACCTATAAGGTTAGTGTCTGTAAGACGAGCATGACCTCACAAATGCGTCCAGACACTTATAACATGGCGAGGATATTATCTCCTGTATCAAGTACACCTATAATTCCTGAGCTATAGAGCGATGGACATTTTTAATAGTGCTTCTTTGTATTGACAGGCTTTAATTTGGCTGTGAGTTTTCATTTACTTCTAATATTTTGTCATCTTCGCAAAGACCTAAAAATGACACGTAGACTATGATGTGAAAACTAAACAGAGAAAACCACATTACATGACATTATAGGGACAAACACATAGACAAAGTCCTTCTTAAATTACCATTTAAAAATTCAGGTGCTGGTTGCATTTTTCTCTTACTCATCATTATAGCCGTAGGGGACCTTAGACAAAACCTTTAAGCTTATTACATGTCACAGAAAGTAAAATAGCTTTCTAGCCCTGCAATGTTCACAATAGAGTTAGCCTGGTCACACCTTTCCCATCCGTCACATGAACACGCATCACAATTAAACTCTTAGGAGAAGTAGACGAAAATGGTATAGAGTCTTGAGAACCGTGTCCAAAATAGGGAACTAGCTGAAGACTGCAAAATGAATGGTTCCTTTGTTTATTTCCAAGAGCAGTTTTTCTGGATAACTGAACGCTGAAGTATTTGAATCCATTTGGGAAAGACAGAGTAGTGGGGAAGCAAAATATCCTAAGTTATAGAGTAAATTGGCGATCTTTAAATACAAATTTATTAAAACTACTTCACTTTTGAGTACATGTAAGGAGAACTATAGTGAAAAGAAGTGAAAGTGGTTTCACATTTTCTGTACTAATTTTTAATTATCTTAAATATAGCAGTTTTTTTTTTTGCTTTGCATATTTACATATATATTTTATATAATATATGTGCCTTGTCTATAAAAGATAATGGTATATTTCATGGAGGTATATTTACACGAGACTGCGCGTGCCACTTGAGTGCCTCCGTCTGCCAAGCACAAGGTCAGGGGGGCAGAACTGATGGGGATGGTTGTAGGGTGGCGGTGGTGGAGGCAGGGGAGGCTGGGAGACGTTCTTGGAGGGCGTCCCCTGATTGCCACCCTCTGGCGACCTCACGGGGGTGGAGACGGCAGACTGGATAAGCTGGTGCGTCGGGGTCTGGCTGAGGAAGGCCTCCATGCGGCCCCGGCCGCCCTTGTCCAGGACGATCACCTTGACGATCTGCTGGCACTGGATGAGTGTCTCCGGGTTCAGGTCGGCGACGGCGGGCCAGTGGGCCGACGTCGCCACACCCGGCTGGAGCTGCGGGTAGCATAGCTCCCCCTGGTGGTTAAGACGGGCGCCCAGGCGGGATCCACTCTCTGGGCTCCGGGACGCACTGAGCTGGTACGTTTGAAGCCTGTTGTGAATTGACACCTAGTTTAGAAACAGCCAGAGACAGCATTAAATGTTATAAGACCTTCCTCCTCTAAGTCGACAGCCCTCTGGTGTAAACAACACAACAGGCATGCGTGTCGGGGAAACGTGCGGCAAGATGCAGGGCCAGTCAAGAAGAGGAGGTGCTGGAAGTGCTGGTGGTAGGGGTGTGGTTGACAGGGAGCGCCAGGGAGGGGAAAGGAAAGAGGGGTGGAGTTAATTTGCTTTTCAGGGCTTAGGACATGATGGGGGGGGGAAGGGACACTGAGGGCCTTGTGTCACCCTAATCGACCAACGACGCGCTAAAGGGAAAACATGTGACCTGAGGTCAGGTTGGTGGGGAACAGTGCAGAAGCTGGCTCACTGCTAGGAGTCACTGTAGCCCAATTAAAAAAGCAGGAGGAGGGAGGAGTCTAAGGGACAGAGGGGCGGAGCTCAGACAGAGGGATTTCCACAGACATCGCAGGCAACACTCGAGAGAATGCATGCCTTCATAGTTCATAGAGACTTCAGAAAGCCTAGTCATGTCCATGTAGCTCTGGACCACACTAGGCTCAGGACATTCTCTAGGTGGAAAGGACGACTATTGGAAAGTTTTCTTTTTTGGTACTGGCTTGGGCTTCACTGAAATACCATGAAACCATCTAAAACTGGGGCTTATGCTGTGAAATAAATATATAGGACCACATCATACAGTAGCTTTATTTGTCAATAACCTGACAGTGCACAGCTGATATTTACTGGTACATATTCTATAGGTATGCATCCGACAAGACTGTGAAGTATTTTTAAAGAAAACTTTTTAAAAATCAGTATCTTTAGGATTATGATTTCTAAATATCACAGTCAACTATATCACAATATGCCAGAATGATGAATATAATTCGTATGATGGGACCTGCCTGCTTGCATGAATAGGAGGCAAGAAAAAAATAACTATCCCAAATTAGGAAGATGCTTGCAGAAGATAACAACTAGTATCTCAACAAGGTAAATGAAGGAGTTTGACCGACAACATCCAAAGGATAATCCAAACTGGAGTTCAGGATATTACAATAAAGACCCAAGCAGTCTAAGTCAGGTTCAGACTGGTATCCACATTAGAAAATAAACAGCCTGCACTGGCTATACCCTGCATAGTTTATCCAGCTTAATGTCAATCCCAAGGCCAAAACACCCAATAAGAAACTCAGAAGATGATCCAGAGGTTTATCGGCTTGGTAATACACTATTTGCCCCAGAGGTACAAAGTCACTACCAAGCATACATCGGCGCTCATGAATGCAGCTTCCGAGTTTCAGACCGCGCGGCCGCTGGAGCAATCAGGATCACCTTGGATGAAGACCGGCTTAGGTTGAGGGTTACAGGGGAGCGGGGAGGAGGAGCGCCAGGGCAATGCAGTCTACAGCACCGGGAGATTGGGAGTTGGAGGAAACGCGCCGGCCCTGAAGCTATGAGATGCAGTATGCGGAAATGGCGGGAAATGGATGTGGAGGAAGGGCTTGTCTCAATGTTTTACGAAGAGTAACTGACCTCTCTGGCTCATGCATGCTTGTCTGCTGACCTGTGACGCAGAGGAGCGCCCCCTGCTGGACACTACTGGGCACCTTCTACTGACTATTAAAGGAACCTCCTCCTAATCCGTCAGCATCTTCATTAAAAATGTTAGGTTTAATTCCAAGGAAAAACAGAACTTTCGGAGAGGTCAAAAATCCTTAAGAGTGATTAAACCTGGATACAATACAAGATGATTCACTACATAAAGGAAACACAGCCAGTACTATTTAATGACAAGAAAAGAAGTGTACTTTGAGATAATGGGAACCAATGAGCACAGAAGAACATTCCGGTCATTATTCTGCTCCAAATAAGATGTCCTTGGAGACGTAAAAAGCCAAAATTCAGCCACAAAAGTGGTAGACATAGCAGAAGCAGTTCTCTGTTACCCAAGGTCTCTACATCATGAAGGCATTCAAGGTGACAAAAGGTATTAAATTATACACCAGTCACCAGTGATAAACAGGAGCATAGGTCTCCATCCATCCATCTTCTGAACTGCATCTGCTCAACATTCCAGGGAGCTTAATAATACACTCCCTGCAGATTAGCTTCAAGAATGTTTCAATTATAACAAAAAATACTTTGCATTTTTTTTTTTTTCAATTTTGTTATGATATTAGTATACATATTTATCGCTCTAATGGGGTGCCCAATCTTATCCGCAAAGGGCCGGTGTGTATGCGGGTTTTTGGGATAACCTGTAGGTCAGCTTTTCAAACCCAGGTGTGAGGACTCTTCAGCCAATCAGTCCTCTAATTAGTGACCTAATTAGGGAGTTGCAGCGAAAACCCGCATACACACCGGCCCTTTGCGGATAAGATTGGGCATCCCTGCTCTAATGACATTCAAAAAGAAAATGCTTTACTTTTGAGTACATTTAGCCAGAATTATTAAAATGGCAGGTGAATGTAAAAAAAATACCTGTCATAATATTTTACGTAATTCCAAGAAATACCAGACACTGTTTCACTGCATGACTTTGAATAAAAATAAACAATATTATTAAATACTGTTATTATATGATATGGATAACTTTGTAAAATGGATGTTTAAACCAGTTAAAATACTACTCATTACAAGTGCCACTGCGCTTATTTCAGTTTTAAAATTGTGTAGTTAAGTAAAACTGACTAAATATTAAATATGTGCTTATTACCATACGTACCGCATAGGCAAACAGCATTGTATGCACATACATTTATACATGCATACTTGGTGTACATACATTTATACATAATGTCATGCATTAACTATTTATATAACTATACATTTACGTAACGTTATTTTCGCTCCCATCTCAGTCAAATTGAAGGTTTACCGCAAAGCACAAAGCTGTCCGACGTTCTTCATGTTGCAGATCAAACATAAAAACCGAAGCACGTTTCCTATTTGCTAAAGCCGCCTTAATAAAACAGAAAACGTGGCGTTTTAATGCCCATACAATTTAGGGACTTTTCTAATCATAATCCAGTTTAGGAGCTATACAGTCAATTACTTCTGCTCGGAGTTCCGGGCTGCTCCTTAAGGAGCGCACGTACCTGAGCATTAGCATAGTCTTATAATCAGCCCGCAGGGATGCCGGCAACTCGGGTACCGCATGTTTCCGTGCTGGCAAACAAATGTTATTATGCACATAATTGTATTCATCCCAGAGACAGCGCTTCTCCCGCCCCAGCCGTCTCACATCGTCTCTCGCCGGGATACACAACATTTTAACAAGGAAAACTCCAAATATACACGAACAACTCACTGCGGCGGGCACATGGAAAAGACGCAGCGCTACAGTAGTGACATTTTGCGAAGTTCTGCAAGCGTCTTGCTTTGTTGGATATGCATTTTGCGCGTTTATCTCAGCTCCACAGATTATTAAACCCTTATACATTTTCAGCAATTAAGAAGATTTGATTTCAAACACGTTCATTGTTTTCCAATAACAATTCAGTTGTTAAAGATTAATGAAGCTCGCAGTCCCTTTCGACAGTCATTACTTTAACTACATGCTGACCAAACGTTTAGCGGGAACTGATTCTAACATTTGCTAACATCGTTCGCCTAAATAAGGCTCACCGGACACTAATGTGACTGATCTGGCCGGCTTCCACGCCGCTTGTGCCTGGGCAAGAGGTGACAGCCTCTCCGTCTGCTGGTTGTGGTCGGTGTCCAAGAGGCAGACAGACCAGCGCCAATGGCCCCGTCGCTAAGGGCGACCTGACAGCGCCGCATCTCCGGCCGGAGTGACATACTAGCGGGGAGCACCAACTTCATGCCATCTCCGCTCAATCTACAGCCTAAAGAAGAGGCGTGCAATATTATACGTACATCTAATTCTCTGACTACTGTTAAATCAAAGTAATTGTGTTCATCCATCATCCAACCGCTTATCCGTACAGGGTCGCGGTGAGCATAATAACCTACATATTGTATGATATCGATACTCAATATTTATTTAAACATCAATATTAAAATATGATAATGATAGTAATTGTCTTTTAATTGATGATTATTAATCAGTATAGGTTATTCTTTATTCCATCCATCCATTATCTATACCGCTTAATCCATCTGGGTGCAGGGAAGCTGGAGCCAATCCCACCATATTCGGACGAGAGGCTGGGTACACCCTGGGCAGGTCGCCAGTCCACCACAGGGTTATTTTATATTTTAAAATGTTAAGACCATTACGTAAGCTGAACTTAAAAATAGTAAGTCTGTTACGAAAGCAAATAAATAGAAAGAAGAATAAAGTACAAATATAACATAAACCTTTACACTATTTGCAAAGATTTAATCTGTTTCGTAAAAAATATATTAAAAATATTTAAACATCCCTTTTAAGTTTCATATACTGTATATCCAAAAATGTGAGCTTCTAGCTTCTTGGATCACAGAGGTTCTGTTATTTATTGACGAGTATCTGCTGTGTAGCCAGAGAAGGGGTCAAGTTTGAGAGAATACTGCGTGTGACTTTGAGGACAACAAACATTTGTAATCGATACTTTTAAATGGAAATCAATACAAAACAAGTAGTCTTTGAGTACACAAATACTGAGGTTTCGATCTGCCCAACCCCAGTACAAGGCGCAAGGCACAGGAACACTTCAGTCCAGCACAGGGCACATACAGTACACACTACTGGGAATTTAGAGATGCCAGTTAAGGTAACCATATGTTTGGACTATGGGAGGAAAGACTGGGACGAGAGGAAATAATAGAGTAGGGACAGGATTAAATCCCCAACATTACAACTGTAAGTGTAAAATACAGAGTTAAAGTCTTTATTGCTGACATAATATATGAAAACCATTATGAATAAACATATATCTTTCCACACCAGCTCTCGGGGTTTTTCAAAGTACCCCACCCCACACCCCCAGAATAAGGCTGTCTTTGGCTTGTTAATTAGCCTCTAATTAAAAAACTGTAACCTTTTTCAAATTCCCCAAGCCTCTATGAGATTCTGCTAAAATGCAGATCTCAGTTTGTGTGCTAATTGTAGACTGGTGCTGGTCTATTTCGGTCCTGCTTTCAGAAGTAACGTTTCGTGCTTTTTTGGATGTACTGATATTAAGGAAGAGAGAGCTGAGTGCATTGCCAAATAAATGGTACATTACCAGACCCACTGTTAAAAACTCCACTCCATGCTTGGAGTGAAAGAAAAACATCCATTAGCTGCATTGAATAAGAACAGAGATGCATGTACCGATACAGAAATATTCCATCCTGGTATATACAACCATAATTAATATCAATTAGTGGCTGTGCCGTGCTCTGTCTAGAAAAACTAAGGGACGTCAGTTCATGTAATCTGTACTGATAAACAAGGTGCTGCATTTTTCTGCTATCAGACAAAACAGAACCATAATCCTCTTTATCCTGTTTGACTGCAGCTTCAGTGTTTTTTTTCTGGTGCTATGACACTTAGAACATCACACTGGAGAACTTTTCTTACATCGATCTATCCTGTGTAGATTATTACTTGCACAGAAACCAGATTCACTCTAAAAATGATTGACTCCCCCTTTCTGTGACATCCCCTTACTTAAAAGTCTCTGCACACCTAGCCCACAGAGGCTTTCATTGGCTTCATGGCTTCCCCTTCCCTCTCCACGTAAGTTGCCTGTCTATTACTGTCTTGAGACCAAAGACGTTCCAGCTCAGGCCTGCCTGCATATTTTAGTTCAGGCCTACCTGTATACTTTTGCTCGGGCCTACCTGTATACTTTCAAATGTTATTATCCCATAAATGGATCTGCTGCATCTTTCATTATGTTACTGCACTGCACACTCACTGAGTTACCTAATTATGCAGCACAAAAATATTTCTTTGGAGCATATCTCTATGGAACCTCCTTTGTGAAATAAACGTGAGGTACGAGATTAATAAATATTACAAAAATAGTTCTAAAAAAGTTCAGTATTTAATTTGAATTATTTATTCAAATTCTTTTAGGTATATGGAAGAGATTTTCTTTAAGGCAATACTTGATTTCCTGCACTGAGCATATAATAAATAAACAGTTTTTTTATGATAATGTGTGCAATTTTTGATATATAAGTCTAATCTGCAACCTGTGAATTACTGTGGGGGTGTGTGTTTGACTCCAGGACATGTACACAATATCAAAACAAAAAAAATGTAATATCCTGTGTTCAATATTTCATCAACGCACCCATGCCTCACGTTTTCAGTATCGTACCAATGTAATGCCTGAGACAGGAAGTCGATCACCAAAAGTTGAGATGGACAGGAACCCCCATAAATACACCAAGGCAGTCAGGCTGCAGATACCTGACAGCTAACCAATCTGAGCCTTTCCTTTCCTGACAAGAAATGCAAAATACTTACCTGCATTTGCCTTCTCCATAACAATGAGTACTTACCTCAGAGGTGTTGTTCCCAGCCTTTGCGTCAAGCTCCTGTTTGTCTGGAAGCAAAATTACAAATATATATATACTACTAATACTAAATCAATTAGTAAGCCCATGACCAATGTAATACAAAATAAAGAACAGTTACTGTAGGCTTGTAGGCAATCAGAGTGACATTTAACATCAGCCCTCCAGGCTCATTGGAAGTTATACCAAACTGCATGAAGCTAAGAACATTTCGGAATTTGTCTGACTCAATGGTCATGCAAAGCTACCAGTTCTTGAAATAGCATCTTTCTATTTTATGTTAATTAAAAGCACTTTCACAAATTCTTTCACAATTACAGTCCACCCAGTAATGTGATTATTTGTATGACACAGGGTATATATCATTATTATATAGTACAAGAATATACTAATACTACTATTTCTACTGTGGGCAGTGGTGGCTTAATGCCAGGGAAATTCACTTGTAACTGAAAGATTGCAGGTTTGAATCCCTGATCAACAAGGCACCACTGAGGTACCCTGAGCAAGGTACTGTCCCCAAGCACTGCTCCCTGGGTGCTGAATTAGCTGTCCCCTGCTATGTCACGACGTCACATATGGGTTAAATACAGAGGACACATTTCGTTGTTGTGCACTGTGGTGGGTCAACAATGATCACTAAATTTTTACTACTGTTATAGTATCATTATGAGTAGTATTATATTCTTGTACTATATAATAATAATACTATATTATGTTTTCTTACACCTGAAATATTGCCCACCTGTATATGTATGCTGCAATAATCCACCAGTGGATGTTACTCAAAGCATACGACACACTCTCCTGCCGTGAAAGAACGTTAAGGTACAGGCCAGTGGTAGATGGAGTGAGGCTCCGATGCCGAGGCGGGATAGCAGAGCGACACGTTGCGGGACGGGGTAGCGAGCAGCCCAGTACCTGTGGGAGAGCCCTGCTTCCCGCCCATCTCCTGCTGAGTGCCATTGGTCTTCACTGGGTGCGTCTTGGCCCCTTGCTGCTTCTCCAGCTCCCCTGCAGGACACAGTGAGCAAGAACCCAGATATAATGCTTTCATTTGACGCACATTAACTCCATTTACATGGTGTTGCAGCAGGTGTGGCGCCACGGCTGCTTGTCTCCAGGGTCCAGGATTATGGATTTTGCAGGTCTTGTTCAAAAACAGGTGATTAAAAAAAGGTGATCTCTAAATTACGGTAAACAACAAATCCTTTATTTGCGATTTGCGCAAGTACAAGTACATTGGAATGCTTCTCTTTGCCTGCCCCGTCTTGCTCTCCGTAGCTCGGGGGTCACAGGGCAGGGTCAGCTAACGTGCCGTCCCCCTGGAGCTGGGGGTTAAGGGACTTGCTCAAGGGCCCACTGGCATGTGACTGTTCTGGAGGCCAGGGCTCGAACCGGCAATCTTCTAATCACAGACACAGAGCCACTCGCCGCCCCACCCATAGTATGTTAGTGTGTGCCCTGTAATGGACTGGCATTCCCATCCAGGATGTCCCCTGCCTTAGGTAGGATCACAGCTCAATGTGAGCCTGTACTGGATAAGCAGTATGCACGATTAATAGATGGATGGATTCAACAGAAATACTGCAAATCAAGCACAATCAATGCACACCTACTATTTGCTAAAACAATTATCCATTATAGCTAGCAGAGAAAATGATCTTTGGTCTGTCATATTACAGATCTCAAAAAATCTGATTTGAAAACAATGATTTGAGATTAATGACTTTGATACTAACCAAGCAATTAATTATAAGATCTTTTTCCGAGCTTAAAGCCATCCCACTCAATAAGAGCCACACTGCCTAAAAGCAAAGCACTTATCTACACCTGCTTTGTCCACTCGCCGCTGGGAGATATTGTTCTCCTGGAGGAATCTCGTCTGCTTCACATCTCTTTTTGCAGCCGTGTACCTTGTATTTTTTTTTTAATCCCCCAGGTGTTACAGAGACCGGTCCTCTGGTCCTTTACCTTATCTCGCTTTCTGACATGTCTATGACACAGCTCTTCAGATGGAGGGAGGACAAAATTTTGGGATGGGGGGCTGTTGCAGATGCCGATCTCATTACATTGTGAGAACGTCATGCGGGATGCACAGCTGTGGTTTTTTTTACGGCTCTGCCTGTTTTCTCGCCATTATAGGAGCAGAACACACCACCCCTCCCCCCCAGCTAACATTTCCTTTATATAAAAAAGACGTTTCTGTTCAAACACAATGTGTGGAAAGACTAATATAGACTCCTGAAGCCTCACCCTTCAGGTCTGGGCTGGATTTCGAAGGTTAAGTGTTGCATACAGTATGCAACCCTTATCCATTTAATAAAAAGCCAGACTGCGGCAGAGCTTGTAGAGGGCACCGTGTCTGCATATGGACACCTGGAGCGGGAGTCCCCTCTAACCCGCAGGTTCACCCTCCTTATGCTGATGATAGTAGCACTGTCACCTTAAGAACTGCCATAGCTTTGTGAGTATTTGGTGGTTGATAAGCTTACGCTCATCTGATGTGCTGTTGATGCTAAAAATGTGATAGCTACTTCGAGCAGCACTGTCTCCTCACTGTAGATGTACCCCCTTCGACAGGAAGGATGGTTCCTCTTATATAATTTGTAATCAAGAAATCCCTCAGTGAAATATACTTTTATATAATTGTAGGACCGCTGTTGAAAGTTGCCTGGTTCCATTTTGATGTAAGGTAACTTTTTATTGCAATATGTTGCTATTTTTGCTTAACTTTTATTTTTTGTAATTACATAAAGGGCTAAAACGTCTCATACATGAAAAATAAAGTGCTAGTATGCCTCTCACTAATGGCACCTTCTTTTTCTTGTAGAAAAGACAATTGGCTGTTTTTTTTCCTTCCATTTTTATGGCTCTTTTGTACCAATGGTCTGTGCTGCAAGCCAGTCTAAGCCAGTACACTGCACATTTAAATGTCTTTATATTAGCAAACTGTTCACTCCTACAGCAGCAGACTTTACCTCAAAGTGTATTAATGCAGCAATCTTCTGAAAGTAATATCAGTGAAAGTGTGAGATAAGACACTCCTCAGGGAATGATTTTTTTTCGCCTTAGGGTTGAAGCACTGTGGACATATCGGACAGGAGAAATTTAGTTTATAAACCTCAGCAGTAGTTAAGCTTATATTGTGCATTATGGAGATTGCCATTGCATTTACATTTCATTGTACATATCAAAAGGGACAAACAGCTCAGCAAATGCAGAAACAATAAGTAAATTTAAATAACAAGGTTATCAAAAAATAGCTGCTGCAATAAAAAACAGGTTTTGCAAGTAGAGGCTTGCATTCAAATAATTTTACACAAAGCATTTAACGTGTCAGTACTTTGAACACTGCGTGAGGTTTGCAGAAACAGACACTGAGGTGATTTTCATAGATGTACTTGGGTAAACCAAATGGAAAGGTGAAGGGCCCACAGGAAGAGTCAGTGAGTAGGAGTCCTTCGTCCTTCATGGAGGCCGCAGCCTGAGGCTGAGGTATGTCCCCAGCTGACTCGACCATAGTTTGGTGGCAGGCGTCGCTTTATTTTAAGGTTCGCCTCCTGCTGAAATGCTGTCAGGTGGACCTGCTGGGTGTCGACAGCCGCTGTACGCCTAATTATCACTGTCGCTCGCTGTGTGTAAAGACAGCATTCATTTCGAGAGGAAATGTACTGGAACGGAAGGCATAACCAAAGTCTGGCAGGGCTGCTCTGCAGGTCTCAGACGACATCCTGACACGCTCAGCCTGGCGGAGGACCCGGATGGTGATGAAGACGCCGGAGCGGAGGCAGGACTCACACTCTATGCGTATCTGCTCCATCTCCGACACCTCGGCGATGGACTCCTTCAGGTCCTCCACGAACTTCAGCAGCTCCTCGGCACTCTGGGCGCAGAAGTTCAGCACTTGTTTCTTCTCTGAGCCGGAGTAAGGTGACACGATGGTGATCCCATGGGGGTAATCTGTCAGAGAGGGTAACGCACGAGATCGCTTACAAAGTCTGTGAGCACACAGACCATGGGGTCTTTGTGGGCTTAAAAGGTACAGCCAAGGTCTGAGGGTCACTCAACGTTCATCCATCCATCCATCGAAACACATGTCAAGTACAGAGAGTCTGTCCCAGGGAACATATGCACAGGTCAGCGGTCGCCCTGGATAGGCTGCCGCTCCATAGCAGGTCACAGGCACAAACACACACAATGGAAAACTACACCGATTAGCCTAACCGCATGCGTTTGCGGCAAGAAGAAATAGGACTACCCAAAGGAAATCTACGCAAACAGGGAAAACACACAACTTTCACACGTTATTAAATATCTAAATAACTTAAAAATGAACTGTGCAAGGCACAAAACTGGGAAATTAAATTATTTTAGCAACAGTTCCCCCTTGCTTGACTACCAGTCATTACTAGAGTAGTATTTCCTGATTCTGCACCAACAGATATGAATAAGACTGGCAAATGATATTTAATTCAAAACAATCTGTTGCAGGTCATTCCTAAATTAGTCACTGACCCTCAGTGTTGTGGGAGTTTGCAGAATAATGGGGAAAACATTTTCTAGTGCGATTAAGAACATTTAAGCAATTAAAGCAATCTACTGCTTAATTTAAGAAGTAAATAAGACACTAAAATTGCAACAATAAGCACCTTTGATAGATGGACAAATAGTCGGATGAAGATATATATATTTCCTTTCATGTTATGCTATACAAATATACTTTTCACAGCTTGCTTGTTGATATTTCATTGAATTACAGCTTTTAAATGTATATATAACAGCATTTAACCACAACCCCATAGTGGACAGCACTATAGAAAATGAATGGATGACAGTATTGAAGTTGTCTTTAGTTGTATCTGTCAATCATGCACAGAATGATGGTTGATCTACAGCCTGATTGTACAAACATTTAGCAGAAGGTGACCAGTTCAGTGGTCCATAGTTATTCATAGTCAACCAGCAAGCACCAGAAGGGATTAAGGTCTCGCTGCCTTGCTCAATATGCAGATCCACGGCCACTTTGAAACTTCTCACCTATTGTATCTGCAGTGTGCCATGTTTCTACGCCTCTTGATTAAATGCCGCAGTCAATCAATGCTACGGAAAGACTGAATCTGATACTTAAACAGCATCCCTAATTTGGCCGCCGCAGGGGAAGTCGTTACCTGTAATAATGCTGGGCATCTGCAGCTTGTCAGTTAACGACTCTGCTAGATGGAAATCTTATAACCTCGTAGCTTTATCTTAAATAGTCAATATTTCATTTTGCCACATTCAGAGAAAACCACACCCAGGACATTAAATAAGTCATCTGATTAAGGGCGTGTGGGGATGAGCAGCTTCCCTTGAAAGTTGCAAGCGCGTCATGGGTGAGGGAGGGGGAGGGGCAAAGGACGAGCGGCAGATCGATGGGCTTACATTCATTCTCAAAGAGGTGGAACTGCATCCCCAGAAGCCCCATGGCTTTGCAGAAGGTGTAGGTCGCAGAGGTCTTCTTCTTGGGACACAGCTTCAGGATCTGAGGTCAAAAGTGCAGGCATGACATCACTCAATTAGCAGAAAGGGAGGCGTCGCCTCATGGGTCACATGACGAAGTCTGTATAGCATGAACTAGGTGTCATGTGCCGCCCACATGACATACAGTAACTGGCGAATGAAGTCAGTATGCTTTAGTGCTGTATCTTTGCCCTGTGCCTTCATATCCAAATCCTATGGAACCAGTTACCCTCAGATATTAGATGTGCCCCCTCTGTTCCCGTCTTTAAATCTAGATTAAAATCTCACCTCTATTCACAGGCTTTCCTATAGCCCTAATTCTCTCATTTCCTGTGGCCTAGTGTGTCCATTCTTGTATGACCTGTTCTGCTTGTCTTACCATGCATTTATTTGTTTAATTAGTCTGAAAATTTTTAATTTTTATTTTATTTTATTATTTATTGGTGTACAGCACTTTGGTCAGTAATAGCTGTGTTTAAATGTGCTTTATAAATAAATTTTACTTACTTACTTATCAAAAATGGGGGCAGGAATGCGCACCTGCCTCTAAAACGCCACGTTCATTTGAATATAAACCAAGTGAGGGCTCATTTTTCAAATCGCGAAAAGCGTAAAGGAAAAAAAGTCTCCTGTGACTCTACCTCCTTGGAGCCCTATGTCATGTCTGCCAGAACCATTTTTCACTTTGATTTCTAGCAAGATTTATTGGATTACCTATGTTTAAAATTACAGTTCTGTTATTACCATACTGTCGAACAATTTATCATGGTAATATTATGACTTTTTCCACTATTTCCTATCACCCTCCTATCATGATACTATATGAATCAAATGCAAATGATCATCTTGTTCTCTTCTCTGAACTGACATCAGCATAATAACTTGAGTGTCATTACTAGAGACGCTTGACAACCTGAAAGAGATTACCTTTAAATATATCACATGGACATATTCCAAATAATGCATTTGGATTAAATCCAGGCAACTCTTACACCCTTTGACCTAATTACTTATTAACACACTACTTTAATTAATGCAGACAGTCTCTGTGGAGCTCGGCATGTACCGAGTCTTAGTTACATATTCGAGTACAACACAGAGCTGAGAAAAAAAACCAAACACACAAAACGTACTGAAAACTAGGAACCTCTGACTACAGCTGCCCAAGAGAAGCCAAAGGCAAGAACATCTTGGATAGCTCTCACTAGTTTTAAATCACTAGTTGAGTCGATTGAACGCGTTGAGTTAAGGAGAGGTTGTTCACTGGCGAAGATGGAGCCATTACCACAATGAGGTCGTTGAATAGGAACACTTCCCTTTGGTGGGCTGCCTGCTTCTGTGCCTTGTTGACGTCGGAGACCTCGAAGAGCCGACTGCAGCACACAAGTCTTCTGTGCGGGACAGAGAGCACCTGGGGGCGGTGGGGGAAATATATTTTTTTTCTAAAAATGCTTTTGTTCAAAGTTCTGTACAAGGGAGGATCAGTGCAACATCAGACATCGTCCCTAAAGCAGTCGGGGTTAAGGGCCTTGCTCAAGGTCCCAACAGTAAAATCTCTCAGCAAGCCGCAAGATTTGAACTGGTGACGTACCAACCCTAATCCATACAGCCAGTGTTTAATAAAGACCCAGAGGATTTGAACTAACTCTATGCGCAATGTTAAAAAATTCATTCTGTGTTTCTTTGCAATGGGAACAACGTGGTGCTTTATAGAGATGACAGACATCAGCACTTGCTGGTCCGTTCCACTTTACTTGTTATTGAAAAGTGTGTAGCTAAGCAGTTTAGGATGGATCAAATACAACAGAGTCAGAGAGATTCTACCATTGGGCCCTTAATCAAGGCCCTCAACTTCCAATTGCTCTAAGGACTGGTTGACCCTACTTTCTCAAAAAATAAATAGATAAATACATGTCACTTTGGATAAAAGCTTCTGCTCAATAAGTAGAACATAAATCTCTTGATATCCAAAGTGCTTATCAAGGAAATTATGATCTAGTCCAGGTTAAAGCGTGATTAAAACCAGCAAGGGAAGCAGGTGGAACAGTGGCAAATGAGCGAATTAGGGGGCATAGTGGCCATTGGACCAATCAGAGGCCCATGATAGCCAGTGAGCAAATCAGGGGCCACGGTGGCCAGCGTGCAATAGCCCATAAATTCTGGGCCAGCTTTTTGGATCGATTCCTCCTCGCTCCATTGATTCCTATAAGTGAGGACTGAGATGTCGGCGGGCCGGCGGCGGCCGATGATGAACCGCCAGCCCGGGTGTTTCTCGCTTTCTCGAACCTCGCCTGCTGTTAATTAAGCGTGCTGGAAGGAGCGGAGCAGCGAGGCAGAGATTGATGCAGCGAGCTAAGCCCTTACGCAAACGGTGCCGCGACGCCTCCAAGCGCTCTTCCGCACACCGGCCTGGGACAACGCCATTGACCTTTTTCAGCCTTGTTTCAGGGGACACGGGCAAACAATCAAATTAATCTGACAGAGCAAACAGTGCGAGGGAGTGAGCAGGAGCCAGAGCAGGGAGTGGGCTGGACATCATCCAGGGGAGGAGGCTCATCCTGACCTCTCCCCTCCCCCTGATTTTCCTGTGCTTTTCTTAACGTAAATTAACATAAGTGGGAAGTATAATTAATGGGGACATTTAATTGCAGAGGTGGAAAGTTCAGGCGCAGAAAGTATAAATCAAGACCAAGATATTGTTTCCACCAACCAGTTGAGTATAAAAAGTCACAGTCTTGTGCTTTCTGAACCTGAACTTCCTCTGTAATTCCCTGCAAAGATTACTTTCAAAATCTCCTGCACCGTTATAGTAATTAAGCTGAACAATTCATATATGATTAAATGCAGAGATTACATGTGGGACGGATGAACCGCAGGGCTGGGAAGGTCACCCCGGCCCATTCCCAGAATTCCCCAGCACCTCCCCCTCCCTCTCTTTAATATTAAGAGTTTAGTCTTCCCAGTTTCCAACTGCAATCATACATCTCCCCGAGCCTGATAAAAGACGCATTTAATTATTCTGCAAATTATATTTATAAATGATTAAAATATGCAAAAATATTTCACAGATAAATACACATAAATCCTCTCTCACTACACAGAGATGGCAGGACAGATACACAGATAGAGAGATGGATATTATGGATTTCTGCTGTAATGTGTTTTAAACTGTTAATATTTGAACCATGAAAATAGATTGTAGATGGAATAAGTCGTTTAATGACTTTACAGCAGACACGATTAGCCTAACAGCTGAGAGCGTGATTCAGAAGGACAGAGGTCATCCTCAACATCTTCCGCTCTGTGAAATGATCTCTAAATCCCCGCGTTCCCCTCCCTGCTCTGACCTCCATCTGTGCATCGGCCCCCACCAATTAACAGTCAACCGGTGATGTCTGTTCCTTTGCTATAAATAATGTTTTGCTGATATATAGGTTTTTAATCACCTAAGAATGCACAATTAGTAAAATCCATTATTTGTGTGCAAGGCAGTATGTTGATGTGCAAAGAAAATACCTTTTCAGCCTGATGTGTGTATGAATAACCTCAGACAGGAATGACAAAGCACTGCGCCTCAAAACCTTGCTGCAGAGAAATCCGCCACATATTGCTGCAGTTGACTTTGGTTTTTTGGGAATTTACACAGATCAAAAGATGATGCAGATGTTGGCCAGTTCCATAATGTTAAAAGGGAGACGTGGATATTACCAGAGGTGGAGATTTCAGGGCCAGACAGTACAAATCCAGACCAAGATTTTGTTTCAACCAACCAGTTGAGTATAAAGAGTCACAGTCACAGAGTACTCAACCGGATGGTTGAAACAAAATCTTGGTCTGGATTTGTACTCTCTGGATCTGAAATCTCCACCTCTGATTATTACAGACACATCTGCTTCATCGCATATTTACTCTACGTGTTCTTATTGTAAAGTTCCCGTAAAAGAATAATTTAAATACAAAGGTCTGTTTATTGGGGGGGGGGGGGGGGGTATGAATGAAGCCCAATTAAATATCGAAGGGGACACGTCCACCCCACCCCCGAGGTTTCTATACCCCTGCAGTACAGTGTCACTATATAGTAGTCATTGCTATTATTACACGAGGCGTTATCTAATAACACTGGTAGGCCAGCACACTCACGGTCTTCATTCCCACGATGGACTGCTCCACCTTGGTGACATAGGTGACGTGGTCCTCATTGGATCGCAGTTCCCTCTGCTGAATGCGCTCATAGATGCCCACCACCATGTCACGGGGGATGTCCGCACCATCGTCAACTCCTGGGGGGGCAGACGCTGTCAAGTCAATCACATTGACCATGTAGTGGAATATACAGGGTCCACTCGTAGGGTCAGGGAACTCCATAAAGCTGATCTTCTCAACAGGACCACCTTCTGCTTTAAGCATGAGAACTGACTGACAGAAACATTTACATGATGCTTCTATCTAAAGCGACTTACAGCAGAGGAAAAATGACGCTCACATGATCATCGTGTTGGTGTATGTCCATCGAAACCTCAAAACCTCCCCTAAAGTCACCACAGTGTTTGCAGCAACCATCCAACTACACCCATGTATTTTTTACTTGACCACTAACACACCTCCTATGGCTAATCAATACCTCATTGATTTTTGTTAACTAATTTAATTAATTAATTAAGGGAGGAGGTGGTGAAATTTAACAAATACATGGAAGGGCTGAGGTGTCCCTGGGGGGAGGTTTGGGAACTGAAGCGGTGTTCATCTAGCCATCCAACAAAGCATCAGTAATGTTTTGGAGAACAGCAGAAATGCTTGTTAGCTTTTACCGTATTATTTTTAATTTGCATATGTTCTAAAATGTTAAATTGTGTATTTTTTTCCTGAGCAAATATACACTTACTACCTGGATAAATAGCATTAAACATTTTCCTTTGACAGCTCAGGACTGTCGCACAGTGCTGTACCTCTTAGGATTCAAGCTCATGACCTTTACATTGTTAGCACAAGGTTCTACTCTTTGAACTACAGGAGAAACACACAAAAGGCGGCTACTGACACAGCCCTCACCGCAGAGCCAAACTCACTGCACAAATTCCACCGCCGATGTCACATGACCAGTAATTACAGCCTGCCCGCAATGATCCGGCATTCGTGACAGATTGTCCTTCAGTAAAGCTCACTAATACCCGTACGGTCGATCGTTTCTACCTCCACCTGAGATCGCTCGTTAAGGGCACTCGTTAAGGGCACTCGTTAAGGTGCCTCGGGTCCCAGCTTTACCCAATCACCCAACCAGAGGTGAATGAAGACGTATGTTGGTGTCATCTGGGGACACCAGTAATGTGTCCTAGCCACTTCAGCCTGCCTTTAAAGGTCGTGGAATGCATTGCAACTGTGGGGGGCATGCTGCAATTAGTGGAACGGGGGAGAAACTAACCACAGTGCCCCCTAATACTACCCACAAACTCTGATAACACAGGAAATCGTCAAAGCTTCAGACTAAATACAAGGGGGCAAGGATCACCTTCCAATGGAATGCAGAAGGGTGGAGGGCTTACCTTCTCCATATTGTTTGCTCAGAAACAAGTACACTCTATGGACAAAAATACTGGAGCACACCTCTTAACTTAATTCAGGTGTTTCATTCAAACCCACAACTGTATAAAATCAAGGACCTATCCATGCAGTCAGGTCTGCAAACATTTGTGAAAGAACAGGTCGTTCTGAAGCGCCCAGTGAAATCAAGTGTGGTACTGTCATAGGGTGCCACCTCTACATTAAGTCAGTTTGTGAAATATCTTTCCTACTAGATATCCCATGGTCAGCTGTAATTGGTATGATCGCAAAGTGGAAGCGTTTAGGAACAGCAGAAATTCAGCCACAAAGTGGCAGACCGTATAAAGTCAGAGAGTAGGGTCCCCAAGTGCTGAAGCGCGTAGTGCATACAAGTTGCCAATGCTCTGTTGATTCAATAACTGCAGGCATTAACCCTAAACCCTAAAAACCCTAAAAGTACATCGCCACTGGACTCTTGAACAGTGGAAAAATGTTCAGTGGAGCGAAAAATCAAGCTTCTCTTGTCTGGCAGTCTGATGGACGAGTCTGGGTTTGGCAGATGCCAGGAGAACGTTACCTGCCTGACTGCATTGTGCCAAATGTTTGATGGAGGACGGATAATGGTATGGGGTTGTTTTTCTGGGCTTGGACTAGGCCCCTTAATTCCAGTGAAGGAAACTCTTATTGCTTCAGCATACCAAGACATTTTGGACAATTCTATGCTTCCAACTTTGTGGGAACAGTTTGCGGAAGGCCCTTCTCTGTTCCAGCATGACTGTGCCCCAGTTCACAAACCAAGGTCCATAAAATCATGGTTGAGTGAGTTCGGTGTGGAAGAACTTATCTGGCCCACATAGAGCACTGACCTCAACCCCACTGAACATTATTGGGCTGAGCTAGAATGAAGACTGTGAGAAAGACTTTCATGTCCAACATCAGTGCCTGAAGTGGCAGCTGATATAGCTGCAAAGGTGGGACCAACTCCATATCGATGCCTATGGATTTGAATGGAATGTCATGAAAGTTGCTATCGGTGTATTGGCCAAGTGTCCCAATGCTTAAGTCCATATAGTGTACAAAAATCACTCTCCTGATGGTAGGAGTCCACATCTGTGTACATGCGAATTTCCAGTCCTGTGGAACATCTGTGAAGTACTGTACAGCCACACACAACCCCTAGCACTACACTCTCCAGCTACCCAGATAAGTGATGGCAATTAAAAATATATACAAAAACTGTGCATACTAAGTGAGTGAAGGGTACATCATCAATCACATCATTATTTAAAAGTAGAGATCATTGTTTCTAACTTCCTGTTAATAATATCTGTCAGTCAGGTACTGTTTTCAGATAAACAAAAGAGGACTAATTCATCAGCAGGAACAGCATGGGATGTGCAGAGATGCTGAGTAAATAAGTAAACTGCCTACTACACCCATACTCAATGTCTTGCCTGATGTACAGTATATTATTGGGTGCCTTCAAACCGCTGTGCTCCCCCACAGAATGTCCTGCCTTCGCTCCAGGTCTTGCAGCTTCTCAATGACATATTGTGATGCATTGTCACCTAGATGACTGAATTTACTACTATGCTGTAAATACAGCTGCTTTGCTTATACAAAATAGCTGCATCACTCGCTAACTGCTAAATATAACTGCTAATAAGAAAGTAGCTTAGATGCCAAAATTGACCACAATGCTTAAAAAACACTGTCTGATTCAAACACGGATCCGTCTGCTACCTGTGCCCCAGGCACGACCTGCGCCAATAGCAGAAGGCATACAGTGAATCAGCGTGGTTTTTCGTCATTATCTGTCCGTTTTAGTCCGAGGGTCAGTATTCTGTAGCATGGTCTGGTGGTCACGATTATTTGTGAGCTAGCACACAATGTTCCCACTGCTCCTTGTGCTCTCCGCCGGCCCCTTAAGTGCGGCTACAGCCTCTGCACGGACGAGCGAAGGTTATGGTTCTGTTATTGTTTTAGCATCCAAGAGACAGGCTTTAAGAGCCCAGGTGCATCTCAGCATCAGAGGGATGCGGGTTTATTAGGAATGTGCTGTATGGGAGTAAGCGGGATATGGAGGGGGGGCTGGGGAGCTCGAAAGTGGTTTTGGGTCCCAGTGGAGGACACAGCATTAGAACAAGAATCAGCTCTTTCTACTTCAGGAAGAAGGAAGCACTGAGAATTTAAGCTGCACATACACTGGAAAATAAGATGGGTTTTGAGCACTGGGGCATTGTTAGTCAAAAGTGTGTCTTATTTTTCCACACATCCGACGCATTCAACTTTCAAACAACATCGTCACACAGTTCGGATGTTTTCCCAAGGTCACCGCCATCCATCTGACATAATGATAACTACCTGCCGAGAGAGGATGCTACAGTATGGTGCATTGTTTTCCTTCATAAGCTTTGGAAGCATGAAACGACACAACAAACGCTAATTGCTTGATTGTGAGGTTGGGAGGCTGACATCGGTTTGACTTCCTTTGCCTCTGAGATGCACAGCGAAAGATGCAGAGTCATTCTTAGGTTAGACAAACAAGCAGACCTGGGTAACAATAACAAGACAGCCACATCATTCATCCCAAATCCCTAATATGTGCACTGCTACTTCATAGCCCCAGGAAATAATTATCATGGAGTTTTCGACTTGCTGATTAGCTCCAAAAGCCATCGGCATCCTTTAATTTTGCTTCTTATCACTGCAAGCAACAAATCCTTTTTAATATACCCTTTACCTTCAGAGGATTATACTAGCTGGAGGGAGAGCTGCGGTGGGATCCGTGTCCAAACCGATTCATAATATGCCTCTAACACACCGGGAATGTCAGCAACGCAGACGAGAAACATTTTAATATTCTTCATTCCGCATAAACACAAGTACTGATATAACACAAAATGGGAGCAATCCTGGCATATTTGGCCAGCATTTACGCACTGCCTCCAACTGCATGCACACCAACAACGCGCATTAAACATCTGTGTCCATCTCCGCACTGTTTCACCTGTTCAGTCAGACTGTGTTACAGTTATGAGGTGTGCTGACACTCCCCAGTTGTGATGAAGGCGGACAGGGAGACAGAGGGAAGAGGCCTCAAACAATACTGTGCATAAGATGTTTACAACTGGCCCTGATGGATTTTACAGCTACATTTGTAAGAACACAGATCCTCCTTTAAAAACAATCAAAGAAGACACAAACACTGAAGTGGTTGAGCAGAAACTTTTGTTCCTTTCTATAATACGTGTCCAGCAAGCAAATACTGGTAAATTGGTGAATTCCCCAGTTTCATGGAGGCAGCCTTTTTCCTGAGATGATACACATGACACGTGGTTCAATTTACTCTGCCTGAGTACATACAAAGGCACTGCTCGCTGCCCTCCCATTGGTCGAATTCTGTCAGTTCCCATTACATACGGTTGCCAAGCAACTCCCTTAGTCGAGTCAGTAGGGTCCCCATCCGGTGTTTCATTAGCATGTGCATGACCGAGGTATGACTTCAGCTGATGTGCAGTGCCTGAGTGCGGCATTAGCATTAGCATAAACATTATGATAAGTGGCAGCCTCCCCTGACTTCTCCAGAACTGACCCCTCAGGTTGCGGATGAAGTCCTCCAGCATCATCTTGCGGTCGGGCTTGATGTTGGGGCTGTACATGTCGGTGTTGAGAAGAATGATGGCGAAGGCCAGGATGAAGATGGTGTCCGGGTTGTGGAACTGTTGCACCACGTCTGGGTTGCACATACAGTAGCGCTGGCTTTAAGGGGGAGGGGAGAAAATCTGGTCATTTTTGCGGGTGTGAACCACTAACATCCTCCACAGGGTTCATCTATTAATGGCGACCAGGCACTCTATAGTCCACCTGTCAATCTAAGTCACATGACTCACATGATACCCACACAGTTCGGTACTAAACATCATGCTTTGTTGTGCTGTGACTTAAACTGCACTCCATGTTAATCAAACTGCACCTGAAACAGCCTGGAGAACTTCCACTGATCTGTGCCCAATGAAATTAACTTTGCACGGCAATTTCACGGCCGTGAGAAACAACAAGCGTTAAAGAACCAGATGAGAAACATTTGCAAACAGCATTTAGCTGCATCAATCGACCGAGCATCACGGTGCTGTCCGGTAGGAAAGCAGTGAAATCCAAAAGGACGGGCAGTGCGAAAAATTTAGATGTACTGTATGTTGCAAGCAATAAAAACGCGCTACAACCCTGTGGTTCATATAACAATCTCTTTTTATCGCAGTGACAAAACAATTACGAGAAAAGAGGCAGGGAGTGACAGCAGTCTATCTCTGTAGGGAAGGAGAGAGGTGAGGATCTATCAGTAATAATATGTTCCACCTGCCTCTTGTCCTTTATGGTACAAATCTTTTTTTAAGTTTCCCAGGATCACGGTGTGATTCACACTCACACAAATTATCATTCTAAATGCTATGTATCTGTGTTTTTATTTGTTTTTCCTCCACCAAAGTGGCAACAACGTGATTTTTAATGCTTGCTGAGATCGTCCTTGTCTGTTCCCAGTGGGTTTTTGAGCTGCGGTCCACCGCAGGCAGCGTCCACAATAAGCACGTTGCAGCCACCGGCTTAAGGGGCACCGGGGAGCCCCGGCGCGCCCAGCGCACTGTGCTGTTAGCGCTCACGGTAAGAGACTGCTCTTTGGAGAAAGTGCAAGCGTGAAGCCGGATTTTCTATCGCATAAGAAACACTGAATGCTGTAGTGAATCTGGAAAGACTATTTAAATAAAAGACTTACGGTTTTATATTATAAACAGCGTGTGGATAATGGTCGGCGTTCCCTCCAGATAAAATTCGCCCTAAGCGCATTTTTAAAATTTTATGAACGGTGCACACAAGACGCCGGCAATCTATTAAACATGTGCTGCAACAGCAGTTTACGGCAATAGTTTCATCTTCATTTTCAGCGTGTATGAAAATGAAAAACGGCAATAAAAATTCTAACCCCCCGCGTTATGTCAACATGAATTTCATTTTATTCATTTTGCATGTCACGATTTATTATTATGCATCGATAATGGACAAAAGAAATTCAAACAATAAAAGATAAATCCCACATAGTCATATGGGGGGGGGGGAGTTCTGGGTAATGGAGAGATTTGTGAAGGAATCTTTTCATTTCTCCATCTATTGTCATTTTAGTACATTTAACATACAATTATGAAAAACGTGGTTACATTTAATTTTAAGTGAGAATCCTTGCTAATCCTTCCGTCTCGAATATCACGGACTTTTCCCCACTGAGCGATTTAATATGCCATTCAAATTTCAACTTTTCAAATCTAACTTTAACAAATTTAATTTGAACAGGAACATTTTTTTTGTCAAAAACACATTGTGAAAACGTTCGGTGAAACATCAGAGCGTGTGAATGATTTGGAGCTAAACATAAATAAACTTGAAGAAAATCCTGCAGGCTGGAGCAACTGCCGCTGTGAAATGCTGACACCCGCAGCTGGCCCATAATCAGCTCTCCTGGAAATGTGGACCTGTTCGCACCTTTGCATGTGTGGCCGCACTGCCTTCCATTATTCCCCTAGTCTCCAGCTGGCCTTCGTCTCGGAGGCTATACAGGCAGAATCTCAGTGACACCTACCAACGTTCTTCGCGAATGCTTTTATACGCGGATTTGTTGTATGTGCATCAAAGGGACAAATTCTATTCCTCAGGCTGGTCACCATTCAGGAGAACAGTCCATTATGTTAGAAGGTGACAGTCAATAGTTCAGATTGAATGCTAGAATTGAGGGACGTTTAATACTATAACAAGGAAAGCACGTAACAGATGCACAAATATGCATTCATCCTATAAAGCCATATGAAACTTCGTGTCATAACAGCGGAAATGGGTACTTATGTGCATTTGTGCTGTTATTACAAAAAATCATTGCACATTTTAATCTTTATACAGCAAATATGCACTTTATTCGCAGTATAAAGGTTAAAATGCACATGACTTGTCCTAACAGCGAAAATGCACATAATATGTGTACGTAACAAATCGCTGCACGTATGCTTTTAAGGGGAATGCATACTTGCGCACCAGTTACGTGCATCCCAGGCTGTAAAACACCCCTCCCTCTTCATGTACTTCTCCTGGACAGGGACGATGAGGAACCTGCAGCCTATCTGACAGGATGGGATAGGGCAGGGCTCTTCAAATCTGGACCTCGATTCCAAATCCAGGCCTTGTTTTCAGTTCTCCCAGGTAGTTAGTGTAACAATTACTGATTCTGATTGGCCAGAGGTTTCGCAACTGACTCTCAGGTAAAGAAAGGTTGGAAAATCAGCAGGGCACGGACCGTGATTTGAATAGCCCTGGGATAGGGGTACATCCTGGTGGGGATTCCAGTCCGTTGCTGGCCACATACACACACAATTTGATGATACCAGTTTACCTAACCTACGTATTTAGAGTGTTTAAAGGGAGAACATGCAAACAAAGGGGAGGTGGGGATCAAACCACTGAGCCCAAGGGTGTGAGGCAGGAGTGCTGCCCACTGAACCCTGCCAGTACTGCTATATTGCTATAGTCCCATGAAATTTATCTATCTACATGATGGAGCTTGTGCAGTTACATTATAAGGTATTTTATTACCACAGAGTGTAGGATTTCATTTGATTCAACCCAGACAAATGCAGCTGGTTCATGTAAGTGTTGAGGCCCATTGTAGAAACAATGAAGGCTCATCATCTCATTATTTGGTGAAGTATAAGTTAAGTTCCCTTGCATGCACCCCCCCCCCCCCACACACACACACATAAAACACTATGGTTTGAACAGGGCTGATTAACACAGGACAAGGACCACAGAACATCTATTCCTGAATAAATCTGTGACAGGGAAAGTGAATATATGACTAGGGGATATGAAGCAGAAATATGAATGTCATTGCGTTTTGTACTAAAGATGAGACAGTTGGTTTAGCCATTGATTTAAATCCTCCAATGAACTCTAAATCTCGGACGGGGCTGTTATGTACTGTCTGGCCCTCAGCCCCCCTGCCTGAGTCTATTGCCCGTAGTAATAGTAAATATCTCAGGCCACTCTGTCGACTTGGGTTTTGCGATAGGAGAGGTGGGAACAAGTGGGCAATTAATGGCCCTCCAGTTGGAGAGGACCCGCGTTCCACCCAGTAAAGGTCCTACATCCTGACCCAAAGGAGACACTGGTCTCCCCCTTGTAAAAGCTAAAGAGTCATACTTGTCAAGCACATTAGAAAGACTGCACCCTACTTGGTGTGACCACTCAGCGCACTGGCAGCCCGGCTCTGCGGCATGACATTTTACAGCCAGATTAAGTTGTTTTAGCAGACAGCAGCGTTGGGTTTCCAACTAGAGGCCCTTATGCTGTGAGCAAATCGCTAACTGAGTCAGACTATGATATTTCCTAAATGCCTAATTAATGAAAACAAATCTTCCAGTCTCATCACGCCCTTCTTTTTGCACTGAACGGAACGTGCGCGTATAATTTTACTGTTCACTCATGCACGGTGTTATGAGTTGCAAATTATTTAAAAATAGAGTGGCATTAACATACTGCATGCCAGTAATTCTGGTGAAGCTATTAAAGCCAGGTAGCATTAATAAATAATCACCATCCCCAGGGTAATAAAAAATTCACTCTCTCTGTGATTCCTGTGGACATCGAAAACTGGATGGCCGCTATCGACCCTCCCCCAGGAAGTCCCTGCATATGAAATAATGCAGCTAATACAGCAATAATGCTTTTGTTTTAGCGGTAGCCGAATCCTCAGAATAACTGCTGAAGGGGAGAGAATTTAAAGCTCCCTTTGAACTTCTTGGGAACTTTCCATTTGCAGCAATCCTCAGAGTAGGGCCAAAGGACAACTGCATTTTTTCATGCTGAAATGACTTTCAGCATAATACTTTGTATGTAATGCACGTTCAGTACTTCCAATGACTTATTTTCATAATTATTACCATTTTTAAAGGTGAAACCTTAATCTCACCAAAGTACTTCCTGGCAGCACTTCAGATTCACTTCTTCCGTTCAGCACTTAAGAGCAACAAAGAGTGTTTTTTTTAAGGAGTCTGAATTTATCTACCTGAATGGTATCTCCCACAGAGACATAATCCCAGGCCCAAGTGCTTCGTGGTTTACAATCAGGGCTCAGCTTTCATTCTGACTGAATGTTGGCTTTTTCTGCATCTTTAAAGACAGTGATGAGCTGTCGCTCACTTGAATCGCCACGGAAACCTCAGCTGCGTATGCAGTGTGGTAACTGCAGACAGTGGCCCTTCTGGAGATGTTCAAATGCCAGAGAGGTGCACATGAGTGATATTTCTTGCCTCATTTTTGTTTTCTGCATGCCTGACTCTCTTTTTTTCCTCTCGCACATCAAAGGCATGAAATTCCAGTGAGCAGCTGCTGGAAAAGGTCTTATGTAACCAAAGTAATTTTTAAACCAAATGCATTTTTATCAGGTGTTTTTTTCTCATGTGAGCAAGTAGAATGCCAGATTCACATAAATAAATAAACAAACAAATAAATAAACCCTCCCAGTGATATTATTCCATAATGATAATTACAACGGCGGTTCTTGCACAAAGCATTTGGAAAGAGATCTGAGCTTTGCTGTTCATTATGAGGATCTCTTTTGAAGATTATGCTGGAGGATATTCAGGTTCACCAAAGAAGGGGTTATCTTTTCAGAACCCTGGCTTATAGATAGGCAGACAACAACCAAAAAATGAACAACCACTGGATCACTGATCAGTGTAATTATGTTATTGGTTGGTAAGAGTTTGATGATTACTTCCTGTTGGTACATTCTATCCTAATTCCCAGAGTACTACTCCTGTTTTGACAAAGTCACACCCATTGGCTGTTTTTGGCTGTGAGAGAACAGGAAGTGCAAGTCGAGGCTCCACCCACCAGGGGGGGCATACCTGAAGGCCTCGATGAGTCGCTCCACTTTCTGCGCTTCCCCTTGCACCCGGATGTGAGCCTGGAACTTCCTCAGGGCCTCATCCAGCTCCATCCCAGAGAAGTCCATCTCATCCACCACGCAGCTGGAGGCAGGAGAGGTAGGGGAGAATCAGGGAGAAATCCAATGAAATTGACTCAAAATCCACCCTCTTGGCAGCACAGCTCAACCAGCATTACGGGTGTCTGAGGAAACCTAATGATGTGAAAGCTGTGCTTGTCAGTTTCCGTTAAGAATCTCAGCCATACATGGATGCTCAACAAATGGGCATACACTGAGACTGAGATAAGCCCCTTACATGAGTCTTCAAAGAAAAATATCTAACCTTAAACTTTCGAACTAGCTCCCACAGCTATAATTGAAACCAAGGATCCAAGCATGCCTTCGGATCTTTTTTCTATGGCTCGGCAGTAAATGATGAAAAGTTTCTGGACATCAAAGAGGCACGTGCTTTAGAACCTGTCCCCAGAATAACAGAACATCTTCCGGAGTGTCTATTCCAACGTGGTTACTTTCAATCATTAAAACCCATTTGGAAGTCAGAATTTGCTTTGCCCTCGAGGAGATTAAATCAGCTTCAACAGCTCACAACTGGTCTTTCAGTGTGAAGAATACTGATGACTTATTGCTTTTCATTTTAAGTGGGTTATTCGAGTGGCTGAGTTGCAGTGTTATTGCTGCTTATTTCTCAACGCAAGCAGCAAGGAAAACATGCTGGGATGATTGCAGACTGGAAAAAATATCCAGTACACAGCAGAATACAAATCACAGAGCAGGCCACTTTGAAGTCGATTCTTATTTGGAGGCTGGCACGGTTACTCTTATTTTGAACGTTTTCATGCCCCTTAAAATGATAAACTAAGATCTAAGATAAGGATTAAATATAGTACATAGTACCAATAGATTTATCCACCAAAACAGTGACAATAAGCACCAGCACTCTACTTCCAATTTTCCAATTTTATTTTCACCATTCTTTTTATATTGTGCTTGAATTTGGGAATACCTGCCCAACACCTTTATCCAAACACCTGATTCCCAGTTGGTCACTGGGAAAAATATATCTTGGAAAGCCTTCGACTCCTGCTGGTATCCATAAGGCCAATAAAGACAGTATATGCTAAATTTCTATCATTAAATTCAAAACTATCCCCCCCCCATGTGTACCTTAAGGAAGTTGGGACTTGCTGAAGCCTGTTACTCATTTTGAGTACTGGCTGCTACCAGGAGTAACAGAGCAATTACTTTTAAGGTTGTGTGAAAATAAGTGGCTCAGCTGCGCCGTGATGTCTGTGGAGGAGACTGCAACTAAAGCACGCATAAACACCATAGATGTATAACAAAAGCAGGGTAGAGAGCAGCAGCACCCTGGGCTTCAAGGATACGGCTGAAACAGCAGCATGCAGTCACTGCCACCTGTAGGGCTTAAATAGCAAAATAATCTGCAAAGCTGGATATCGCACGTATCGCTCAACAAACATCAAATCATTTGGCGTGTAGATAAGGGGGCCGGTGGGCATGCCTGAATAGTCCGTGGCAAATTAGCCTGACAGCAGCAAGAACGTAAAGACGAAGAGTATTAGATCGCACCAGCCGATACGAAAGCGAGTGCGACAAATCAGCTGGAAATAAAAACCAGTACAGCGACGGAGGCTGGCACAGAGAAAGCATGCTGCTCGGTGACAGCCAGCAGGCAAGTGCCGGCCAAATGGATTGTTTCACGGATCACGGTGCTACCAAACACAGCAGATCAAAAAGATCAGTGGAAATCAGAGCTGCGGAGACTGTGGGTTAGAGCTGAATCCCTATAAAGATCCAATAGGGACAGGCAGCTTTTGAATGACAGGAAGGACAGCAGCGAGAAACCCGTGAACAACATCGGTCCTTTTCATCATGTTGTCGCCAGAGAGAACACAGATCACAGGTCTTCCCTGTTGGCCCTGATTAGGCTGTCATGGCCATAATGAAAACCCCAGGAGACATCTCCCCATTGTGTCTGCGTAATAGCCATCACGGTCAGCACCAGGGTCCATAACCCTGGGCTCACTCTCCTATTAATGAGCCCCCCTCCCTGCCTGGAATCCTCCTCTGTTTACATTTACCGTGCGCGGCTTGATTAATATGTGCACAAGGCAGCGGTGAGGTAAACACAGCCACCCAGATGGAACAGCGCTTGCTGCAGCGAATAGGAGGCAAAATTGCATGCTAACAAGGCCTATAGCTTGGCATGCTTCAGAGTCAATAAATATTTCTAATTCTTCACAAGGAAAGTAAGCACATCTACAGAGCAACACAATCATTTCTGTTGTCGCAGCTCAATATTACCAATTATTCTAATTATTTTTTTACTCAGAAATGACAGACCTGTTAATTACACTGATATCTCCTCTGAGCGGAAAGAATATATGGATTGAAGTAGCGCACAGCATATTTCCAAGCACCACTGGCACCGATTAGAAGAAGAACAGCATATCTTCAGTGTCCGGACGCTGCACTGAACTGCAATCTCCTATTTTTGCTTCCTCGAAGCAAAGACATTTTTGCATCGCATTGCACCCTTATGCGACATGCCTTTGCTTACGGGACACACACTCTAATTCTCTATATCTGTCCCCTAAATCTAATTCTACGACCATAAACTTAGTTTACTTGGTCTCATCTATCTTCTTAATCACTGGAGCTGCCTAGAGACGGGGATTTCACCACAGAGCTGTTTGTCAGCACGCTCCTCCAGCTGATTCACACCACAATTCCTTGTTGATTACCCCACAGATCGCTGTGGTTGCTCAAATTCTATGCCTCACATATTCTTCCTGTGTTGCCACAGCCTGGTCCAAAGGGGTTCATTTGGATTGCACTTGGCTTCCTATCACACTTCTGTACATTCAGTATTTATCAACAAAATATTTATTCATTCTCTCTGCTCTCCCTTCTGGCTCCCACTTAGGGCCATCTGGCCGCAAACTCACAGATCTCCAGCAGGTTTCGTAGTCTAGGGAATGAATCAACATACCACCATGGTCCCAGCTACTGACATGGTCATCGGCATCGCAGCCTCTCTCGGTGCTCTGCCCCCTGCTTGCAGCCTGCCCATCGCCTGTTCGTAATTACTAGCCCACAGTTGCTTTTGGCCAGCTAATAGGAATTCTTAGCGATTTGTTTCTGGTAATTGGTAAATTTTATTCATTATTTTCTTAGAGTATTCTTAACAGTCTTCTGTAAAAAGGTTAGGGCTTTATTTTTAGTCTTTCTTTTATTGGCAAACTGGGTTTTCTCCTGGAGTCTTCTAGTTTGTCGTGCAATATTCTTTTCGAACTGACTCACAATCCAGCTGTTTTAATGTTCAGTGATTCATTGGGCGATTAGTTCATGAATATGATGGTGTGGAGAGTACAATGGATAAGAAGCAGAGATCAGCTCCCTACAGTGCACCATGTGACACAACCTCCTCCTTAGAGACACTTCTGATCTTCTTCAAAGGCAGATATTAAGGTTCACCTCCTACGGGAAACATGCAAGGTATGACTCCCCCTCCCCCCCAAAGCCCTGCAGAGGCCTGTCAGCCTGACCTCCACCCTGTGAGGGGAAAGAGGTGTTGTCAGGGCTGAGATTAAGGTGGATCACCTCTAATGACCTTTAATAAGAAAGGGTTGACCATTCCCGGCTCACAAATTGGTGATGGAGGAGTCCTATTAAGTAAGAGTGGAACCTGAATTAAACCTAGTCCGTGTGTCCCTGCCTTACCCCACAGAAATTTAATGAGAAGGATCTTCTGCAAAATGTTGAGTGGCAGCTAATGCAAAAATAACCTGGAAAAGTTTTTTTTTTTAGTTATTTCCATAATCAATGTTATATCCGCTGGGGCACACAGTCCTTGGTGCAGTGAGTGTGTTTTTTTTTGGCTGCCGTCGCTCTGTGACTGTCGGTGATTTTCCACACCACCACCGATGGCGACACACGGGACAGTGCGGAGAGTCAAAACCGCCTCGTGCCTGTGACTGACGGAATAGTCCTAGCCAAGAATGAACTTTCTGCACCACGAAAATCCCAATGCAATCAACATAATCAAGTTTTTCTGTTTTTCCTTTAGTTCTTTTGCAGAACACACACACAGAGCCACACATGTAAACACAAACATGCACCTGGGGCATCGTGGGAGCATTCGGCGAGGGGGGGTGGGGGTGCTTCCATTGAACTCTGTTCATGATTTATAACCCCACCCCAGCAAGACAAATGAAAATTAAAGACAATTTTGGCCCTTTCAGCTTGTAAATAAAAACGGGTAAAAGATAAAACAGAACCCTTACTGCGAGGGGAATTCGCCACAGTCTATCCGCAAAAGCACCCGGCACGTACGGACGCATGTTCCGTGTCCCCTCGCACAAGCGACGCTGCTCGCTGGCCTTGGTTACTTTCCTCGTATGCACCTTTGAGCTCACTAATGTATTGGTTTCCTATGGAACGTGCAGCAGTGCAAACCAAGTCATCTCGCCAGGTGGCGGAGATTTCATTAAAAGATGCAGGCAGTCCAGCGGTGCCACAGAGGAAAACAGGGAACGGAGATGAGCGCCTTGATTAAAGACTCAAAAAGTACAGCCAGCTTATTTCATTAGACTTTGTTAAAAAATGCATGAAATAACAAAGGTTATGTAATTTTCATCATAGATCAGCTATTATTATTATTATTATTACTATTATTATTCCTCACACCTCCCAGATTGGGTGATTTATCTGGCTATGCTGGATTCCCCCTGCTGTCCAAAGATACCTTGGATGGTCCTTTGACTAACATTAAACAGAAACCTATGACAAGCTGAGGTGTACAAGGCCATGTACTATCAGAAGTCATTAATCAGAGTACAGCAGAGGTACAGTGGTCTTACCTCTGTGCTGGGGGGGGGGGGGGGTCTGAGAAGCTCATGTGGAGAGACACTTACTCCAGGACGTCTCTGTTGAACTGTTTCTTGCTGTTGCCCAGGAATTCACCAATCATCTGCCTGCTAAGGCCCTTCCGCTGCAGCAGGAAGTGGGCCACACCTATGGGCGTGTCGGGGATGAAGCCTCTGGAGATGAGGAACTGGATTCCTTTGTCGGGATTCCTGCAGAGGACAGACACGGACGTGACGTTCACCTCAGGCACAGCATCAGCATTCACAACATGGCACTTAATTCCACTAATGATCTGCATGCAGGTTGAGCAGCTTCGATGGGAGGAATTTCAAGAGTTTAGAGACCTACTTATGTCATAGAATAACACACATCTGCAATTTTAGCCCTTGAACAAATATGTGAGGACGGCTTTAACTTCGAATGGGTGTCTATTAAGTTAATGTTACACTGGTGTTACATGGCATCACGTACAGTCATTTAAATGAGGTCATTTAATCCGAATGCAAACTAAAAAATATTTAAAAATGGACATACATGGGATGTTTTAGAAAAAAGTCTCGCATCATGGAAAAGCAAAAAGAAAAAAAAAGCATCTCCCCAGTAGATATTTTTCAAGCATTTATTGGTGCAGTATAAAGTTTTATTCAAATTCAGTATCCAACAGGAGCATTAGATGCTGAGCCATAGCAAACATGAAAGCTGAATTCACTACTCCCATCATTCCCACACGCACTTCCTGGGGTAGGATAATGGGGGGGGGGTGTCTGAGGAAATCTCCATAAGCTGTTAACAGTGCTGAGAAGCTCCTCATAGCCAGCACTGCTGAACATTGACGGGGATGTTGCGGATTTCCACACCTGTCTGCAGAAATGCTAATCAGCACCGGTGTGGTCCCAGTCCGCACCGGGAAGATGCCGCATTCAAAAAGGAGGCATCACATGATCATCACATGACGTCACATAATAACCCTCCCAGCTATAAAATCCCATTGAAATCCCAAGGTTAACCCGCAGTGCCGGTGCAACCAGCTAACATTTCAAACTGCGCATTTAAGGCTGTTCATAGTCACGTAACAGTCATCCAGAGGCTTCTCTCAGCTTGGCTTGTTAATATTCATTCTTCCTCTGCAGGTTAGGCACTCATGCATTTATGCAGCAATGCATTATGCATGTTGGAATCTCCCCGACCCGGGCGACGGAGGCCAGGTGACACAGGCATGGAGCAGGAAATGACAGGTCGTTTATGGACTCGCTTATCTGTCTCTGAGTTCTGAGGCGGGTTCAGTGAAAGCGCGGTAAACACAAAACACAAAGAACAAACACACTGTTTCGAGAGGGAAAGCAAATGAATATACAGACTCAGGGACATAAGAACTCAAACAGGGCAAGGAACTGTGTAGGGTTACCGAGTACAGGAATGGTGCTACAATGTGCCGCAGACATCGGACTGGGGCAGCTACCAAAAAGCAAGTCCTTGGCTACTGAAGCAGGGCGTGGGGACACACCGAGTTCATCACACATCTAGGAGGGCCAGCCACCAGCCTTGCTTCATGGGGCTGGGCTGCCAATACTACCCGTCCATCAAATCTACCCAGCGTCACCTTGTCAGTTTTAGCAAAGGACTCGTGATGAGACACGGAGATGAATGCTGGGTACCCTGGGGCACCTCCTGCACACCATCTGCACCTACAGGGCTCGACCTCCAGCTGCAGTCCCTGAAGGACGCTCATGAATCACACATGTGGCGTCCATCCACACGGTTTGCTTTTCATTACCAAACGGCAGTGCTGGTTCTTGTGAAGGTCACCGTTCCCTGCCGTGGTCCAGCAGCAGGACAGAGAGACCCATTTAATCTTCCTGTCTTTACTAGGTGTGGGACAGCGTTCATCTATTGTACTAATTGAGAGAGCTGACCCCCAATCTTTATCTCTATCTCTGGCCATCTACTGTTCATGGTTTATTCATCGAGATACGAGGACCACATCTCCCCCCCAGGTGACGGCATGCTGGGGCCACTATTTGTGACAATGCACATTCAAAATGCCCAGCAGTTAAGTGTCCAAAGCAGAAGGTGCGGGGCAGTGAGAGGGAGACGTCCAAGGTCTTATATCTGGAGTTAGTGTTGCACAGCATCAGCATACAAAAAGTGCCTAATCCATTGTGACCCTCTGGCATTGAAAGGAAAATCAGTCTTCCCGTGAAAGCCTACATTTCAGGTACAGCTTCAGCACCAGACTAACTAGGGCTGGGCGATATATCGAGATTTTAAAAAATCACCGGAATATCAACAGTGTGTGATATGGATTGAGATATCATTTTATATCGAAATTAATAAAGTTTCACAGTTTTCAAATAAAGTTCAGTTCCAATCCTGTGGAAAACCTTTACCTTCCCCTTCACTCTGCTGTCGGCTCCACTGTTAGCAACCCCACCTTCAGTCGCGTGAATGGACACACACACACACACACGCACACACATGCGCACGTGAACAACATGGATGGGAATGACACACAAGTCTCGATTGACGACGACTTAGTACGTAAACAGAAGAACAATGGTTCAGTTATTTGGAGGTGGTTTGGATTTCACAGGTTAGATGAGCAGCAGAACTGCATGATCCGCAGGGAATGCCGAACAGAGGTAGTGTCAAAATTGGAAGCGTTACCAACCTTTTTCATCACTCATAACAGCGGCACAAAATACAGTATGAAGAAGCTGTTTAACTCCTTGCTACTGCGCATTGACTGTGAGACACTCGCTGCGCCCCTAACATATTTAATCTCACTCCAAACTTTCGATGAAACCTGAGTGCCCTGCAACTGATATATGGTCAAGCCGCACCTGCGAGCCGCATCTGAGTGTGACTATTCATTTCATTGACGAATGGAAGGTTAAAAGTGCGTGTCTGCAAATGAGCTATCTCCCTGAAAACCACACTGGGGTGCACACAGCAGAAGCCCTGCAAAATGCCATCGCGGGCTGGAAGCTCGGTGAACAGAGGCTCGTCGCCGTGACAACTGACACTGGGAACGACGTTGCCAAAGCAGTGCGACTGCTGAAGTGGCAAAGGATGCAGTGCTTTGGGAATCAGCTTCATCTGGCAATTGGTAAGTGCAAGTTTCAAAAACTTAATGTTAATTGCTTAAGTCTTTTATCCATTAAAGCTGGAATTAAGCAGTAAAAAGTTTTTGACTGCTTGCCGGCTTTAAAATAGCTATAGCATATAATGTAAAATGCCCATAGGTTGGACATGTTTCCCAAAAATGAAGTGTGTTTTACAGATTTAATTGTTTAAAAACAGAAGCATTTTAGGTAGACCTACCAAACTAAAATGACAATAATAATAAAATAAAATAATTTCTAGTGTACAGTGAGGTGTTAATCAGATTTCATTAGACGCAAGTGAGCTTCCTTTTAATATAAAAGTAAAACATTAAAAAGTAAAATCGTGTTTTATTACAGGACACGGCATGGATGATGGCCGAGTGACCTGGGCAATTTCATTATGAAAAAGAATTGTGGGCATCTTCTCCTACAGCTAGTGGAGGAGGAGAGAGCAGGCCGAAGTTCAGATGCACTGGAGTCTGCCTGGTCACTAGCCAACACGCTGGAGGTCATGGTAGCATGTGACTGAGAGGCTTCGGGAGCAGGATATAGCACTTGTTAAAGTCCTGCCCTCTGACAAAAAAATCTAGGCATCTTATTCCTACCTGACAAGATACTGAGGTTCATAAACTGGTGCAGAAATCTCTGAAACCTCTTCATGAATTTACTGATGCCCTGTCTGGGCAGGACTATGTCACCCTGTCATATGTCCAGCCAGTAATCCAACTTTTCAAATCAACCATCCTTGGCACTCAATGAAGGAGACAGTGAGCTTGGAAAATTCATCAAGTCTGCCATTGTGGATTACCTGAATGAAAAGTATGCAGACCCATCAACTAGCAACCTGTTGGACACTGCATCATTTGTTGATCCACAATTTAAATCCAGAAATATTGGAGGTGAGAAGCTCAAGGCACAGAAGGTCAGAGCTGTATGGAAAATGGAGTCTCTGGCCTCTGACCAGAGCTGCTGCAGCACGAATGACTCCACTATGAGAATCCACATTCAAAACACTGTATCTGATTTTGCAACTGTGGTACACACTGTGTCTGAGCCTGCAGCTGTGGTACACACTGTATCTAAGCCTGCAGCTGTAGTACATACTGTGTCTGAGCCTGCAGCCATGGTACATACTGTATCTGAGCCTGCAGCTGTGGTACACACTGTGTCTGAGCCTGCAGCCGTGGTTCATACTGTGTCTGAGCCTGCAGCTGTGGTATACACTGTGTCTAAGCCTGCAGCTGTGGTACATACTGTGTCTGAGCCTGCAACTGTGGTACATACTGTGTCTGAGCCTGCAGCTGTGGTACACACTGCGTCTGAGCCTGCAGCCGTGGTACATACTGTGTCTGAGCCTGCAGCTGTGGTACACACTGCGTCTGAGCCTGCAGCCGTGGTACATACTGTACTGTGTCTGAGCCTGCAGCTGTGGTACACACTGCGTCTGAGCCTGCAGCCGTGGTTCATACTGTGTCTGAGCCTACAGCTGTGGTGCACACTGCATCTGAGCCTGCAGCTATGGTACTCACTGTACATGAGCCTGCAGAGCAGCCAACAGAGGCGCCACTTAAAAAGAAAAAACTCCTTGCAAGTTTTTTCACACAGACCACCCCCACCTGCCACACAGTATCAAAGAGGCAAACAATTCAGAGTGAAACTACCTAGTGTCAGAGTGAGTACAGCACAATGCGGATCCCCTTGCATGGTGGAAGGGACATGCCATCATCTTTCCCACATTAAGCTGCCCAGCACTAAAATACCTCTGTGTTCCTGCGACCAGTTCACCATCAGAGAGAGTATTTATCTGCAGAGCCAATGCTGTGAGTTTGTCACAGGGTGTCATTAATGTCTGATATGGCTGGCAGGCTGCTGTTCCTGGCCCAGAATCATTAGGCTGATATGAAAAGCTTAATTAAGACTACATTCATTTGTCCTGTCCTTCAGCCTTTATTTTGATAATAAAGTGTACAAGAAAAGTGTTTCTGTCTCATTTTATATGGCTTTGGCGTACTGAATTTTTTTTTCCACTTCAAACTATATATATCATATATCGCCAAAAGATATCGAGATATGATTTTTTTTTTTGTCCATATCGTCTGGCCCTA